GATGATGATGATGATGATGATGATGATGATGATGATGATGATGATGATGATGACAACGATCACAATGATGACAACAATGACAATGATGACTATGATGATGAGAATGATTAAGAAAGCGAATGAGAAAATGAAAAAAAAGAAAAATAAACTCAACATTGTCGATCAGCTGTGTGCCATTGCTACAAACAACCCCATCTTCTTCTTAATGTTTCAGTTTATGAAGAAATAAACAAAAACAAACACAAAATGGTTGGGTTTTTAATAAAAAATCAAGAACGTATCATGTCGTAATGCATTACCTTTCGCAACAACCTCGCCAGATCAGAATATCCGCCGTGAGAATTGATAGTATCAAAGAAGTGATCGTTATCCACAAGCTTCAAGGTTTCTGCGTTTTCACCTTTGACGGCTTCACGCAAAACTAAGTAGGGGACGCCTCGAAATCGCCGAGCCGCCAAAGGCATTTTGGCCAATCCTGATTACTAGTAGGTAGTTGGGTTTTTTCCAGCTGTTGTAGAAACAGACCCTCACAACTCACAAGAAGCAGATCCACGTAACAAATTACAAGAACTCACACGATGATCACAACACAGACAGAGGTTGGTTTTTTAAACGACAATCCACAAGAGATGAAACGACTTGATAACTGCGTCAATCACCACGAACTATTCCGCAATAGTAATTCATAGTGTCATATGTGGCAGTGACATTGAAAGATCTTGTCACTACTTTAGTACGTAAGCGAATGTAAGCCGTCATTGTTCGTGAATGCTATAGTAATGGGGTTTGCTGAAGTAATAATAAATTTGCAAAAGCGTATAAAGCGTACGTTTGGGCCAGGATTCGGGTTATAAAAAAGAAACCCATTTTTATTATCATAATATTAAAAGCGATATTGAAAAAAAAAATACGGCTCCACTTCCAAATATTTGAATGACAAATTGTTATTCATACCATTCGGTCGTTTCGTACACTTTTGTCTTCTCTCCTAATAACAGCTTTGTTCCCACGGACAGCGAAACAAATCTACAAACACCTATAACATAATATGACACTTCAGACTGGGGGGAAAGTCGCACAGGGGTATCAAAGGCAACGGCTCAGCGCGTGTGGCAAGTATTGACGAGAACTGGTAGAATAAAACAACCGGCATAAAGGTTATCGCACGTTCTACAGATAGAACCCGCCCTCATTTATTCAACAGACACCCACTTGAGCCAAAATCTGTTGAAAGTCAAAGTACCGCACACATCGTGAGAGATCAGACAAGAGTAATCAGATGATAAAAGTAGTCAAACGATTTGGATCCAACTTCTTTCTTGCTTGGCCAATAATCTAATTTCTTTTTGATTTCAGGCACTTTTTCAATTTTCCTATCTAGTCGGTTTTTACTCAATATCCCACTAAAACTTTCTGGAGGCA